CATTTTTGGCCAGCCCATTAAAAGCATCGTGGTTCTGTTGAAATTAGGTCTCAGCTCAGTAGCCTAACTTTGAATTATAATTAGTGCCAGAGCAGGAAAAAGTGTCATGTTTATATAAATGTAACCAAAGCCTAGTGTGTATTCAGCTTTTGATTGCACTGATCAAAAGAACCATTACCAAACGGTTGATAATCCATATTTTATTGCTGCCTAACTGTCTTGCTATTGGCATTTTATCTGATTTGCTTTCCCATAAAGACAAGTTGCAACGTAATGTGTCTCCCTTAAACTTAAAGGTAATTGAGAGTCACTTAGTCAAAAGAAGATTATTATGCTCAGTAACCCACCTTTTGCTCTTCATTGGATGGAATAGAGACATCATCAGAGTCTTCATCTGATGAACTGATCAATGTGTCTTTGTCTCCACCTAAAACATGTGAAATATTAGAGAAAGATCAGGAGAACATTCAAATAACGCCACAAGATTTTCCATGCCATCTTAAAAGCCAAATCTTTCTGCCGATTAATAAAAGAAATCTTAAGCATCTTTGAAACCACAATCCTTTATAGTCATGATAAAATAAATAAATAAAATGACAATACACTGCATCTAACTCAGTATAAAGCAGCACTCGCACAAAAAGTACCCTATCAATGAGCAAAGTGGCCCCTCCTCTTTTTAACCTGTTCAGTGTGTTCAGTCTGTGCACCATGAACAACACTAAAGCTGCATACCTGCTGTACATTTGGTTTTCATGTTTTATAGAGTCAGCACCTTTCAAATAGAATCACTATCTGGATATGACTGTTTCAATATATTAAAACTCCTGTAGTTTGAAACATCTCTCTGCCTTTGATTTAATGGTGTCATATGAAGAGTGACACATATATGCTATCAGACAGGAACATCTCATAACAACTTCCACACAGCTGTATAAAATCAATGCTTATTATGAGTGCATTTCCCTAGGATCACAAACCCTGACAGGTTGTGTTATTTGAAATGTCATCAAAGCACCAGAAATTCGATTCGATTCGATTTCAAACGGCAAACCTTTCTTTAGCTCAGAGAATTTCAGCGAGTTTTAGCGTTATATGAAAATGTGTTAATGCGTGTCTCCCTGGGTGTTACCTTGGATGCGGCGAAGCAGATCCGAGGTGTTTGAGGTGACTGAGGGGGTGAGATCGTCGGCTAATGATTCTTCCTGCTCCCCAGGGAAGAGATCCTCAGTTATCTGATCCTAA